GAGAGAGAGAGAGAGAGAGAGAGAGAGAGAGAGAGAGAGAGAGAGAGAGAGAGAGAGAGAGAGAGAGAAACATTGATTTGTTCAACTTACCTATGCATTCATTGGTTGCTTCCTGTATGTACACTGATGGAGATCAAACCTGCAACCTTGGCATATCAGGACAATGTTCTAATCAGCTGAGCTACCTGGCCAGGGCCTATTCATATATTTTTAATTAAGAGTTATAATTTCCATGAGGGAGACACTGTAACTGCTTTCTTCTCTACTGTTTTCACAACATTCATCAGAATAGGCACTGACTAAATATTTTTGAATGAGTACATGAATGAATGCTGCCCCTGCACACATCAATGTAGCTATTTCCAGGTCCTCTTCACTCTTGCTCTCTACTCTGCCCGTCTCTCACAATCCCAGCAAATACTTCCCTCCCTCTCACCTCCTTAAGGATGGGCTTAGAGAACCTGCCTCATGGGAGTAACTAGATTAATGAGCAGTCAGTCTGCATTCCATGAGATACTGATGTGATTTTTTTTCTAATCCTGCCTTCAACTAAACTCAATTGAGTCTCTCTTTATTAATTTTTAGTGTTATCTCAAACATATCTAATAACTTTCCACTCATGTAAAATATTGAAAATTCAGTGCCAATCCATTGAAACCTCGTTTTATTTTATTTGCCCTTCACTCCCTACTTTAGGCTTTCCCCAGGGTAGTGGCACCTTTCTCTTTCCTTATTCTGAATTCCCTGGCACTGGGCAAGAAGGCGGGATTGTGGGAAAGGCAAACATTGTTATATTTAGGTTTGCTTTGCAGAGATCTGGTGAGTATCCCGGCCACTGCTCATTGGCGAACAGACCATCAACAACCTCTGTGTGGCAGATGGATATTGCTCTCTCAAAGAAGTGGTGTGTCACTTGGGGTGACCTATGGGAACCCCACTGCACAGTCTCTGACATGAAATATCTGACTCTGCCCCAGCTGGATTCATCAGGACTCCCTAAGCTTGTCCCAGGATCCAACACCAGGGTGGTCAGTTTCATGAATGACTGACAGCAATACCTCCCTGCCAGGCTGTTAATTTCAACAACATTGAGTTCTCCTTCCTTCTGTCCCTCTCTCTGGTTATTTCCTCATGTCAACTGGGACAGCCAGGGATTTTCTGGGGCTGGGGTGTTGGTTCAAGCTAGCAGAGTTGATTCAACCACCTCTTGGTCCTGGAGAATACACTTAGCCCAATATTTTTGTAGCTCTCTCCAGAATATGAAGGTACTTCATACCTTTGAGCCTCTGCTTTGGGTCCTAGTCTTCAATTTTACACATACATAACCCTGAGCAGTTATTTACATTTGTAGCTACTTTGGTATAAACACCGAGCTAAGTGTTACCCAAACAAACATTGAATGAGTAGCTACAACCGGTTAGTCCATGTAAAAGTGATATACAAAAGCCAGATGCAGTTCAGACTCTCATGCACACTGTGACTTTTAAATAGAGGACATTTAAACCTCAAAATTGAAAATAGACTGGGGAGGGAAACAGGAAAGGAGAAAGAGTAACTTTAAAATGAAGGAGTAAGGATCATCTTAAAAATGAGAACACTGGCGTTGGTGGTATAGTGGTGAGCATAGCTGCCTTCCAAAAATGAGAACACTGCATAGTGACAGAAAGCCTAACATGTTTAAGATTAAAATCTGAAACCCTGACGCCCAGGTTAATCTTTTCTCTGCTCACAAATCAGTCATATAGATTCCCATTAATATTTATCTCCTTGAGTCTGAAGGAAGAGGAAAATCTATTTTGTATGCTGCCCTGTTTTGCTGTTCCCATCACAAATTCACTGAAGGATCACAGCAGGTTGATGAGGTACCAACTGTGCTTAGTAGCAGAAGTACCAGATACATACAGTGTGGCACGCGAAGCAGCACACATCTTGGAAGTGACTTCCTTCAAGAACCACAAATTCAACTAAAATTCCAGATAAAAGCTAAAGGACTGGACTAATCCATACACAATTTTAAACCCAGAAGTTTCTCTTGCTGAAATTATTTTCACGCTCCAATTTAAACTCAGAAACATTATGCTGTTGTCACACTTCTTTGTTCTCCTAAAGTAAAAAAATAAGTAAATAAATAAAATCTGTATATAGCTGATGAAAAATAGAAACCTGTCTGCCAGAGCGTTCTCTGTTCATGTCTAACATACTGTGGAATCAATGTAGAACACATGGTCTTTAAACACTGAAAAGCCTTTCTTTGCAGACTTAGCACAGCACTGTTTTTCTCCAGTACGTTTGCAATGCCTACCATACATGTCTTGCATACGGATGAATTCCTTTGGTTGTTTCAGGCAAGTCATACAGTATTTTCACATGCTTTGATGTTGTGCATATGAGAAGTATCATCCACATTTTGGGAATGTGATCCCTTTTGCCTTCAGCATTGCATTTAATGCTGCATGACTGACATCATTTGAAATTCCATCTGACAGAATGCCAATAATGTCTATAACAGAAGTTCAACATATTTAGTTCTCTCAAATATGGAGGTGATGTAGCAGCTAAATTGGAAAGTTTGGGGTGCGTTTTTTTTAAATTAATTCAGCGTGAAGATTATTAGTGAATTAGAATTATGCATAAAATATTTCGGTTTTCTTCATTTCCTTACCCAGAAAAATCTCTTGCTTCCTATCAGATAAGTTTCCAAGAGGCATCCTGTTTTGGGGACACAAAGTATACAGATTAAAGTAATCTTAATTCACGTTTCTTCATTGCAGATGAGACCCATTGGCCATGATGGCTACCATCCCACCTCTGTCGCTGAGTGGCTGGATTCCATCGAACTAGGTGACTACACCAAAGCCTTTCTAATCAATGGCTACACGTCGATGGACCTGTTGAAAAAAATCTGGGAGGTTGAGCTTATTAATGTAAGTTGGTCTCTTAAAGATGCCTTAGTCATTCAACCCTTGATAAATGAAGTCCTTATTATACATGAGTAATTTTTTTTCTTTCTTTATAAATGTTCGGACATCCAAGGATTTACAGACATGCCTTCTAGTTTTAAATATACATCTCTCTTGGCTCCAGTCAAGTTCCACAGTCACGGTCTTTTGTAGTTTTGAGGTGGGAACTCAAAGGACTCTCAGGGTGTTTTGCATTATCTCAGAAAACTTTCCAAGCACTTTTGGATTTTCCAATTTAGGAAATTTTATCAGTTTAGGGTATGGATGTGATAAGGAATAGGCTCCTGTTTTATCTTTGCTCAAATTTATTGCTAAAGAGGAAAGTTATCATTTTTGGTTGAATATTATGATTCCGTGACTCGACTCCTTAATTGCATTATAAGAGACTGCTTTTGTTCATACTAAATAGGCTGCTGTGATATCAAAATTTTATTTTCCACAGCTTATATCTAATCTCGTCTTCATTTTATTCATACACATGGCATAGGTTTTCTATAAAAATTGGCCAATATATGTTGCCATGTATTTGAGTCCAAAGAGATTGACTGAACGTACATAGGTATTTTTGTTACTGACTCTTCTCGCATTTTATTTTTACTGCTGTTTCATTTCTAATAGAATAAAGGGATGACAGAGATAAAAAGATATTATATAATGATCATGTCTTTGCATTACATTGGGAATCATGAATAACTTCTTAAACGTGAATGTGAAATCATTTAATTTTTTAAAGGATTCATTAGATTTAAGTTCTACAGTCTAATAACTGAAAATGTATTCGGAAGCTGAAAAGTAAAGCAGGTGAATTTCTGCTGGTTCAAAAGTGATCAGTTCTACTCTCTATTCCACAGTGTCTCCAAAAGTCCGGTCTCAACATAATACATGTCACTAATTATATTAAATGATGTCCATTAGTAGTGACGGATTATTCTTCGCTTTTAAATGTCTGTCCTAAAAATAATACCTTTTCTGGAAGATCTCATAAAAACTGTTCTTTAATCTAAAAAAAAAAAAAAAAACTAAAAAAAAACACACTTTCAATGGACAAATTCTTGGCTCCTTCTAATTGGCCATCTTCTCTTAGCTCTCTGTGCTCATCCCTCACAAAAGCGATCATTATTTCAGAAGAAACTTACTGACTAAAAGCCTCTGATTAATTTTGCTCTTAGTCTATATGGCAGTGTAACTAGCTGAAACTGTGCTGCTTTCTTAGTTGCATCAAGCCTATTTCGGTTCTCCACTGAGAACTCAATACTCATCTTACGGCTACTCTTAGTCTTTTGTTAAAGGGGGACCTTTAACAAACAAGCGTGCTTCCAATTAAGTTGCATTCAAGCCAACGATATAATTGACAAATATCTCTATGTAGCATCTTCTGAATAAGGCTTTTCCCCACTGAAGAACAGACATGATAGATAGCATAGGAGTCACTCCCCTAACAGACTTTAGCAGCAATCCCTCATTGAAAAAAAAAATGGATTCCAATAGAAATTGACTATAAAATGTGTGACGCAAGTATCATTGAAACAAGACTATACTCTCTCAAAATCCAAATGCTGAGACTAGTGCTTTGGACCCACACCTTCCTCAGTGCTGGAGGCACCAGTGGCCCAGAGATCCCTGGTCAGTCCCTGTGGCCAGGCATTATGGACAGCTACAATGCCTGCAGGGTCAGTGGTGCCAGAAGGTTTACAGCCAGGGTCAGGGACTGATCCATCACCACCCATGGGCCAGCCAGCCCTGAGTTGGAACTGTCTCTTTAAGGGTTTTCCCTTTAGCTGCATTTTCTGTAACGCAATCTGACTTTGATCTGGAGAGCAGATCAAAGTGCCCGTCACAAGCGTTGTATCAGAATCGGAAAACATAGTCACTGTGGTTGAGACTTTGAGGCCTAATTTCTCCAGCCTGGAGTATAGCATCTGCATCTAACACCAACCTTTTTCCTTGTTTCATTCAAATTACTTTATTGTCCTTAAAATAAATTGGTAAAACTTAAAGTTCCTTGTGACATCTTTACAGGCAAGTTTGCACTCTTGAAGGAGGCTTTGCAAGTCATTTCTCTCAGTAGATATACTGATTATGGACAAACGCTGTTCTCTACTTTCATGCTTGGAAATCAGAGAACAAAATGTTTGTGTCCGTGAGAGCTGCTGTGTAACAGTCGTTCTTTGAGTGATTTAGGGTTGTTGGCTTACGACGCTTTTGACTGGTCTCAGAGTCAAGACTTTTATTTATCTCAACTAATGAGGGAAGGCATCCAAATATAAGAAAACATCTTGTATATTATACTAGAGGCCTGGTACATGAAAATCATGCAGGGGTAGGGTGCCTAGGCCTGGCCAGTGATCAAGGCCGATCTGTGGGGCAATCAGAGGGGTGCCCTGCTGGCACCCACCTTGGCTTGCTTGGGGCCTGAGGGTTGGGGACAGCTTCTGCATTGAACGTCTGCCCCCTGGTGGTTAGTGTGTGTCATAGCAACTGGTCGTTCTGCCATTTGGTCGATTTGTATATTAGGCTTTTATTATATAGGATGGGCCTTGTAATTCTATATTAAGTACACATTGTTGTGTTTTAGGCTGAAGAGAATGTACAGTCACCTTGAATGAGAGCAAAGATAACTTGGGAAATTCACATCTTGAACCTTGGTGCTGACTAGCTAGTTTGAAGGAAACGAAGTGACCCCAATAACTGTGGTTCTGTGTAAACTGAAGAGAGAAGTGCAAGTGTAGACTGGCTTTGAGAAAGAGAGGCTTTGAGACAAAGGTCTGCTGGTGGAGGGGAAGAGGATGAGGATGAGGAGGATGACTGCTGATAAGATTGCAAGTAACTGCAGCATCACTACGTAGTATTGACTAAGCCTCCTATTTCATATGGTATTACGCTTGATAGTAAATCATACAGTCTCAGTGGCATAATAAGCTTATTCAAAGTATTTTCAGAATGAAATTAAAACTATACAAAGTTGTGAGTTAACAAGCACAAATACGTTTGAAATTGTAATCTTTAAAAGTGTCTGAAGATCTTCTTCTCGGTGGAGTATATTGCCTTTGAAAAACAAGGTTATTTGAGTAACCTAATAAGGGTTTTGGTCACAAAGCTACCCAAGTATAAGGATTAAGGAGAGTGTTAGAAATCTCATGTCTTAAAACCACCATTGTCAGCAGGAGAAATAAAGCACAGAGAAACTTTTAAGACATCAGGTATTGTCAATTTTATAGGCCCCTATATATCCAGACATAGAGAATTCCTTTATGCCAATAATTGTTCTCTTTGTTCCCTAATCCATGTTTTATATTCAGAAACCGATTTTTTATCAATATCTCTGTTTTGCCCCTGTGTCTGCCACTATCATTAATAGCATCATTAATATCGCTTTTACATGATATTTTATTGTTAAAATATGAATATGTTGGGAGAGATTGTCAGGCAAATTGTTCCCTTTGCAGATGCTAGCTGGTGAAACTCTAGCTTGAATTATAGTCCTCAGCAAAGGCTTGCTAAGAGAATGAAAGGCAAGTTAACAGTGTGTGAGTACATCAATATTTTTAAAACGAATTTTTCTGGCCTTGCCTCTAGTATTACCAAGTTTGCACAGCAGTTTCTACTGTTGACAACCTCAAGAGCCCTGCATGGGGGAAATTTTAGATAAAAAGGTTGCATATTACCCGTATGAGATATGTATGGATAATTATTAAATCCCCATGGAATTATCCATTTTCTAGATGAAAAACATATTGCAATTATGAAAAACAATGTTAATTTACTATACCACTGTGTACCTACTAAGGGAATTTTGGTAAGACCAAGCAAATTGGAACAGTGTCCAATTTGTTAATTTGTGAATCTCAGTGTACCTATCATTCATTTCTCCCCAGTGGATTTACTAAGGAAACAATTCTAGATTAGGCTTATGATATTCACTGGCATTGATCATGATAAATGTACACATTGAATGAACAAAATAAAATGCAGGCCTCACTGTGTTCTTAAACCCCTGCTCCTAAGTACAAAAATAGCTTTGACAATCTAACTGTGGTGATTGGCTGTGTTTTAAATACCTTTGGGTAGAAACAAATAAAATAACTACAGCAGTGATACCCGTGTGTCCCATGAAAATCATTTGGACTTATTTTGCAACAGTAAATTGATTAGAAGATCATCTGCTTCCTGCCTAATAGCCACCGAAACCGTATTTGTATCACTCTTTTATTTAGAACTGTCAGGGTTTTTTTTCTCTTTTGCAATATTGTTGATTTAATTTCTACCTTTCCAGGGGAAATATTGTGATAAGCTAATCACTTGGAGATGCACTAAGAAATTTTCAAAGGAAACATTCTAATTTTAATTTTGTGTTACATCTGTCTGTCTCTCTGTGTGTGTGTGTACATATTGGATAAAGACAAATAGTAACTTATGCTGAGAACCCAGAAGAATAATCCACAAATTGCGGGGGGAAAATGAATGTTGTAATTCCATCTCCAAACCAATTACCATCTGTCTGTCTCTGTATGTGTGTGTGTACATACTGGATAAAGACAAATAGTAACTTATGCTGACAACCCAGAAAAATAATCTGCAAATCCACAAATTGCAGGGCAAGAATGAATGTTGTAATTCCATCTCCAAACCAATTATTTTAAGTAAAAGATTATGCCTTCACTACAGGACATTAATAAATGAGAAAAAAATATTCATTTCTCCTCACCAGGGCAGCTACATCAGTCAATACTTCAAATGTTAAAAACTTTAATCAAAGCCAAAGGCTTTAACTAAATGACTGGATATGAGTATTCGAGTGTAAAGCAAACTTCATAAATTACCTTTGTATTTAAGCATTTCATTTATGCCCACACACAGTGCAGCCAGCTTTCCGGCAGCCTTCAGGGCAGCTAGACACGATGTCTGAGTCTCAGACGTTTCCAGGCCTGTGTCAGGTGAAACTCCGGGACCCCACCACCTGCTCAGTGCATCTCAATTACAAACTCTCCCAGTCATTCTCTTGAAGCTTCCCAAAGTTCACGTATGTTTTTTTTTTTTGGGAGGGGGGACATCCTTTTCCCTTCCTCATAGAAGATGGACAATCTTCTCTCAAGCACTCACTCTTCAGTGTTATTTTTAGCCCTTTCACATACAGCCTGGAGGTTGGTGATGGTCTAGGACAGGGATTATTGATTCCACTCTCTGTCAGCATATTGTGTATATCTGCACCTATTACGTTGCTCTCAGCTGTGGAGCCTTGACCTAAACTGAGATAGAATTACACCAGAATAAAATGCACTTAAACACTAAATCTTCATTGGAAGGAATAAGCTTTTTTATTTTTTAACTTTTTTGGTTGGTAAAAAGACTTTATTTTGCCTTAATTTTTGGAATGTATTTTTGCTGGGTATAGAATTCTAGGGTAACAATTTTTTTTAATCAACATTGATCCACCATCTTCCCTTCTGCATTATTTCTGACAAGAAATCTCCTATTATCCTTTCTTTTTTGTTGTTGTTTTAGTCAGTGTTGTTTTCCCTCTGGCTGCATTTGTCTTTATCACTACTTTTGAGAAATATTATGATGTACATTGATATAGTTTTCTTCTTGTTTCTTATGTCTGAAGATTTTTATGTTTCTCATGAAGTTATAATATTCATCAACTTGAGGAAAATTTTGGTTATTATTTCTTTTCTTTTTTATGGTTTTCTATGAAGTAGTTATATTTCTTGTTTTCTCTTCCATGTTTCAAAACTTTTGTATAGAATTACAATATACATTAAAAACTCCATACCCTATATAATAAAAGCCTAATATGCTAAGTATCCAGTCGTCCAGTCAGCTGTTCAACCAATCAAAGCATAATATGCTAATGATATGCTAAGGCCACTCAACTGCTTACTATGACATGCACTGACCACCAGGGGGCAGAGAGTCGACTGGTCAACCAGTTGCTATGATGTGCACTGACCACCAGGGGGCAGACTCCCCAACTGGTAGGTTAGCTTACTGCTGGTGTCCAGCCAATTGGGACTGAGCAAAATGGGCCAGACATGCCCTGGAGCCCTCCCACAATCCCTAGGGGGCCTCAATCATGCACTGATGGGGTCCCTCAACCTGTGCTGCACCCTCTCACAATCCAGGACCTGTCAGGGGATGCCGGTGAGCTGGTTTCAGCCCAACAGCGAAATGACCAATTGCTATGACGTGCACTGACCACCAGGGGCAGATGCTCAACACAGAAGCCAGGCTTATGGCTGGCAATTGCAGCAGCAGTAGCATGAGCCTTTCCCACCTCCGCAGCAGCACTAAGAATGTCCAACTAATGGCTCCCAGACTGTGAGAAGCCACAAGCTGGGCTGAGGCACAGCCCGCCTCCTGAGTGCATGAATTTTGTGCACTGGGACTCTAGTATATTATAAGTGTACAGCCTAATGATTTTACACAAAAAGACCACACATGTAACTAGCACCCAAACAAGAAATAAAAATTTACCAGCACCCCAAAGTTCACTCATGGTCCCTTCCAGTGACTAGTTTTCCCATGACCCCAAGGCAGCTATCATCCTTACTTCTAACAGCAATGCTCAATTTGCTTGTTTTGTACAGAATGCTCTTGCATGTAGCTTCTTTCATTTATATCACATTGCATGTAGTTTAAGGACTGGTCATTCTCTCTCATTGCTATGTACTATACTGAACTTGTTTTTACAGTGTTATTGAGATCTAATTCACGTATTATACAATTCACCCACTTATAGTATACAATTCAATCATTTTAGTGTATACAAAGAGCTATACAATCATCACCAAAATTATTTTTATTGTACTCAAAAAGATGTAACATAAAATTTGCCATGCTAACCAATTTAACTATACTGTATAGTAGTGTTAAGTAACTTTATTGCACAACAGATCTCTAGAACTTTTCCATCTTGCAATACTGAAATT